TCAGTAATATTCTTATGATCACGCCTTCCATGGGTTGTTTAAATAGGCTGCTCGAGAAGCTCCTCAGTGCTTTCAACAATTAAACACCTTTATCGATTTCTTCCTAGAAACTGTACTAGAAGCTGCTGGAGTTTAGAGGACACAGGAAGCAAGACATAGAGACCCTGAGCTGCCTGACCCTGCAGCGCTGAGCGCAGACTGAACAGCGCTTGTATGTGAAACGCCTTGAAGTACTGAAGGCGGCATCTCAGACACTTGCTTCTATCTAATATGGATGTAGCAGCCAAGGGAAATACATGCCTGACAACGGGGCTGCTTTTCCACCAGTCTCTCCTACCCAACTTCCCTTCACATTTAAATCAGCACCTAACGCACTGGGGTCTGTGGCTAGAAGCTGGGCTGGGGGAGGTCACGTCACCACTCTGAGTTTCGTTTCTCCGATGTGGTCACTGAAGTCCCCTTCACCTCTAACAGTGTATGGGTCCCCGATAATTCACGTGCCAAATATCATCTTCCAGTCTCATCTTCCTTACCACTAGCACTTTGGTCAAGGCAAACAATCAAAAGGAGTAGCCTTGACTGGACACCAGAGCAACTTGAGATCGTTGTTTTTAAGGGTAGCAGGAAAAGTTCTCTTTGCAGGAGTTTCAATACTCTGAGTAGCAGGGGGGAGATATGGATACAAATCCATAATGCTCAGAATTCAGCTAAATCGGAAGAGTGAGCAAATTGAGAACCCAAGCCTTTAAGTGAACTATATACAATCTTTGTAAACTTCAGCACAGCCATAAATATGTTGCTAAACCCATCTACTGATTGTCAGATAAAATACTAAAGGCTGACTGGCATAGCTCAGATTTCTCATTTTGTCTCTCATTTGCAAAGTGGAGTCTGAATAAAGAAAAACTAACTTTCAAGTCTGAAAAATTGTTCTATCTTAATTTTTCTCTCCAAATTACAAACATGATGAAATATACATGATGCAGCAAAATCATTTTTAAACACCTCTATTAATCTCTCTATTACCTAAGTGAAGTAATGACTTGGGAATGCATTCAGATTCACCTAAACCAAAGATCAATTTGCTCAGTTACATGGATATATCTGAGGAAGTCACCTTTTGTCTTGATTTCTCTTTGCTAATTTCTCGTTCTTATAATGGGGATAATGATTTCAAATGGTGGCAGCAGAGACTAATCAAAGAAACCCAACCTCACACATTGTATTTGACACTGGTTTCTAGGTAATGACAAAGGTTTTCCATTCTGCATACTTGGTTAAGGTGCCTTCCTCACCAGACCCATGGTGCCACCCCGACTGCTCTCTCGGCCATGTCTGAGCACTCATTGTATCCACATAATCATCACAGGATATATAAATTCCTGCCTATGCACAGCACAGAGTCCTTTGATAGTTTCCCGTGGTTACAAAGCAGGCAGCATTCCCTGGGGAGCATTGGGTGCAGTGGAAAAGCTGCCTCAGTGGATGAAAGATACATTTTGACACTTCCCCCGGTAGAGCAGGTAAAACAAACACATACATGAACAGTTATCTCCATCTGGGAGTCCCACCACACACTATCACATTTGTGATAAAGTCGCCAGATACCCAAAGGCAAAAGCACAGGAACTAATTTACTGCATACTGCTTCGTGCCAGTTACTGTAGGAGGCGCTTTGAATATTGTCTCTTCTCTGAAAGTTGGGATTAAATGGAAAGCGACAGTAAGCTATATGCCATACACCATTTATAGCATGTGCCGCGTACAGCTGTTTGGGCTCGTAACCAATATGACTGGTTTCCTTACAAGAACAGGTGCAGAGACACAGGGGAGAAGCCAAGGGAAGACAGAGGCAGAGATTGAAGGGATGTGGCCATGGCCAAGGGGCACGGGGAAGAGGCCAGGAGGGACCCTCCCCCAGCACCTTTGGAGGGAATGTGGCCCCAAGACACCTTGATCTCGGACTTCCAGCTTCCAGAACTGTGAGAGAATACATTTCTGATGGTACATTTCTGTACCATCCTGCTATGGTAGTGTGTTACAGAAGCTGTGGGAAACCAGTATAGCATCTGAAGATGAAGAAACCCGGAGACCCAGAGTCTCTCTCTCTCTCCCTTTCTCTCTCTCTCTCTCTCTCTCTCTCTCTCTCACACACACACACACACACACACACACACACACACACACAAACACACACACATTACTAATTGAAGAATTGCCCTGAAGGGTTATTTTCAGTTTGCGGGATGGCCTTGGAAAAGGAAGAAATGTTCCTCCCGGAAGCTTACCCTGCTCTGAGGGAGCAACACGCACCCCGCACCCCGCAAGGTGAGGGAGGTGGTCTGGGCAAGGGCTCCCAGACCTGCCGGGAAGCGGTGACCATGTGGCTGCCGTCTGTGACACTACCAGGAGCAGCCCTGCCCAGGAACAGGTGGCCTCACCTGCCCAGGAACAGGTGGCCTCACAGACACCTTGAGGCAAGGCCCGTTCAAAGGGAAAATTACCCCGTCACCCTGGACCCGCAGCGACTGCCTCGGGGCATCTGTGCAGGCAGGGAAGTCTTTAAACGTGAGCTTTGGGACTCTGCCAACCAGAATACGGGAAATTCTCTCACATGAGGGAAGGGAAGGACCCAATCTGCCCCAGACTGGTGACGGGGGTGGGAAATCACATAACGAAGTCACATCAGAGACCGCAGAGAACCCAGAGGCCGAAGGGAGAGGCGGATCTGTGCAGACCCGATGGCGACAGGGCCCTTCACAAGGGGTCAGAGTTTCTCTGACGCTTTGATGCGTGATACTCATTCCAAAGTCTGGGTTCCCTCCTTTGAGCCCAGGTAACGGCAGCCTGTGGTGCTAAGGTGCCGCGTGGGAGAACCGTAGGGACCAGCTCATGTCAGAAAGGGAGGCAGCTCTGGAACGAGTCACAGACAACCTTTCTCTGAATGTTTAGAGTCAAAGTTATTCAAGAAAATATAATTTCTGATACTCCAGAAAATAAAACTATGTCCCATAGAATACTACAATAAGATGTGCCTAATATTAATAAATGTAGGTCACATTTAATTGAATCAGGGTAATAATCAATAACACTTAGGATGACCAAGTCCTGGGACACGGGACATGTCCCCTGCAAGTAACAGGAGCCCAGTGCAAACTGATTAAACATGCAAGGGGATTTAACGCTCTGAAAGAGGAAAGCCCAGAGTAGGTTCAGATCTCAGGCTCCTGGGGCTGGCTGCTGCAGCTTGGTGCCACCACTCCCAAAGCCAGCATTTCACTCCTTGTTGCATCTCAAGTATTAAACTTTGCTCAGACTGACGACAGGTTGAAGGCTCGTGCCTCAGTGCCTCCCCCTCCGGGAACCGAACCGATTCCCAGGGCAGGGAAGACGGGGTTCCATCAGGGGACATGCACAAGTCAGGACCCTCCCCTGGAACTGGAGGGGAGGCCACTCCCACCCCAAGTGTACGGCATAACATTCAGGGAGGAGGGCGGACGGCCTGCATGACCATCACACTGAGCCACTGCCAGGGTCGAACAGATCTAAGCACTGGAACTTTTGTTCTGCTCTTTTGGCAAGAATTCTTACTATGTTTCTATGACTGCAAGGAGTATATTCTTTTTTTCTACGTTACAACTACCAAATTAATATTTGAGTAAAACATAAAGCAGTGAATAATTTGGTGACCTTAGACACTAAATTAATATGTCATGTATATTAAGAAAATTACAAAATAAAACTATTTCCACCTATCAGAGGGTCAAAACTTCTTATTTGGTGTTATGTTAGTCAGAGTGTGGCCCTTGCTTACATTGCTAGTGGGAGAGAAAATTGCAACAAAATTTTTGAAGGGAAATTTGTCCATATTGATTAAAATTACAAATGCATTTACCGTTTTGTTTTGTTTTTAGCAATCCTACTTCTGGAATATATTCTACAAATGTACCTACATATGTATGAAAGATACTGAAAACAACCCAAGTGTCCTTCCACAAGGGACTGACTAAATAAAGTGTGGAATTCCTCCTGTGGACACCAGGCTTCTGTAACAGAGGAAGCCCTGTCTATACCAATCAGAAATGCCCCCAAGACAGAGGAAGCCCTCTCTGTACCCATAGAAGTATCCCTAGACAGAAAGTTAAGTGAGAAAAGTGCTAAGTGGTGTGCAGAATATGTAATCTTTGGTATGGGGTAGGGGATCTTCTCATTGTATATTTTATGTCTTCTTATAGGGTTTTCATTTATGAATCAAGAGCATAATCTAGCTGTTTAAAAATTAAGACATTATACAAAGTTAAATATTAGAAAGCTAAAATTTGTGTTTTTCTCAAATACTGTACTTCCTAGGAAAGACTTCACAAAAAGATCTCTTCTTATCAGAAATACATCCTAACCTTTCTATTTAATGTGAAGTATTGCCTACAGATTATTGAAGTAAGAAATAGATACTAAGATAATAATACTGTTTGCAATCTTGAAGGCACCTCAATTTTCAATTCCAGTTTTGCTTGAATCTATCAGTATTTTGCATCTGGCCCCATTATACGATAGCAGTCATCTAGACGTTTATCGGACAGTTTTGTTTTATTTGTTTTGTTGTTCTTCTCATATTGTCTTCCTCAGGGAAACCTCCTTTTGATCCCAATCTTTGAGCCTGCCCAAGATGCCCTTGTTTTCATCTCATAAAACCCTGTGCATCCCACTCATTTCAGCTTGAAATTAAATATTTTGTGTAATTATTTTGTTGTTCATGCTAACTAGACTGTAAGCTTCATGAAGCTAGGGATATATCTATCCCCAAAGCTTAGTGTGCCACTATCACATCATTGCATTCAATAAATATTTTTCATATTGGGTGTGAATTGTACAGTTATTGATGCACATTGTAAACTATTTGTAGACATTCAAATTCTAGGTTATTGCATTCCATCAGAACAATAACTGGGAAAATATTTGCACTAAAGAAAAAAAATTCCAGTACTTAGAATACAGGGAGCTGCTTGAAGATGCTAAAAACTTTACTATAACCATCCATTTGTTCCCAAATTGTTTTTTTTTCTCTGCAGTATATATGCTATTTACATTGATTTTTGTCCAATACATTTACTATCTCACTCTTTATAAAGCCACCTCATAGAGGCAGCTTGTCTTAGGCAGATTTCAGCTTGTTTCTCTAACTTCATCAGCCTTCCCCCCCCCACCAAACCACTCCAAATAAAGGTGCAATCTATGCACAGTTTTCTAGGCAAATGCGTCTTTAGGAGGGGTCCCCTGAAGTGCCGATTCCAGGTAAATTGCTGCTCATGATCCACTCCCATATAGAAATTCTGGTGTCTTTACTCACATTCACCCTTAGCTTGTCTATCTAAACTGATTTGAAAAAACATATATTAAAACTCAAAATGACAAGAATCCCTGACTATTCTGAAAACCATCGAATTCACTCAAATCCTTCCTTTACAGAAGAAATGTGTTCACAGAGGCAGAGTGAAGGTTTTTGCAAATTGATGATGGCTGTCCTTGTCCCTGTGTCTTCCAGTTCCCGTTTTTCCTTGAATAAATCTTTTCATAGTGGTTTCTTTTAGCAGTTCTACTGGATCCTTTGGTGCCACTATTTGATTCTTTTCTGGTACATCTGCCTACATACTAATCTTCAAAAATATCACCTTTTAGTGTTTCCTAGGCTCAGGAAAAGTGTGATAAAAAAAATGAGAGACTGGACGCTGAAAACAAACCACGATTGTCATAGAAAGGGAGTTTTGAAAATGACAGTTTGCTTTCTTTTGGTATTTTCTCACAAATACCAAGCCCCTGCTGTTTGTTACTGAGTGGGAAGCAGGAAGACACAGTGTCTTCCTCAGCGAGCTCAAAACCTCTTCCAGGGAATGATCTGGTTCGACCCTCAGGGAGTCAAATGGCTCCTGGGAACGCATTCACGTTGCTTGAGTTTTCTCCAAAATCCAGTCCACGTACTCGACCACGTTGGTGTAAACACCTGGCCGCTCCCTTTGAGCGCAGCCTTCGCCCCAGCTGGTGATGCCCACCAACTGCCAGATCTCGTCGTGTTTGCAGGACAGGGGGCCCCCCGAGTCTCCCTGTGGCAAGTGGAGAAAAAGCACGGAGCACAGATCAGTTCAGATGCTTCCCAGCTAAAATACATTTTGCTCAGTGATTTCCCCTAAATGTTGCCCTGGCTCTTTGATGTACTTCAAAGAACCTGATTGCTTTTTTTTTCATTTGGCCAGCCTATCCATTTTAGATTTCAGAAGAAGTTAAACAAATACTCTGTGTTCTCTGCTGGTTGGCAGAAGACTGCTTTTTAAACGCATTAAACATTCCAATTTGAACATATTCAGTTGGTGGAAAACATTGTTACCTTACAAGCATCCTTCCCCCCTTCCTTGTAGCCAGCACAGATCATCTTATTGGTTATTTTGTGCCTTCTGTATCTCATCTGGCATTCTTCATTTGCCACTAAGGGTATACTGGCTTTCTGGAGGGTGTTTTGTACTTTGTCTAAAAAAAATTTTGGTTTTGGTTAGTGGAATAACTATATGTTATATATGTAAATATGAATGTATATACTTAAAATCAAAATCGTACCTATGTAAGTATCTGGAAAGAAAAAATATTAGGTTTCCCTCTCAGACCTTTTATAATTCAAGTGTAAAGATGATGTCATTCCCACTATTGCATGCACCATTGCGTAAATGTTAATTAAGTCAAAAATTAATTATGATTCTAACTGGAATTACTTCTCAGAGAAAGTAATTGGATAACAGGCTAGAACATTTACTGAAAACTTCTAAGTTCCTTACTAAATTTCATTAAGCAAAATGAGTCTTTAAAGAGATTTAGTCATATTTAAAATTTCTAGTCATACAGGGGTGGTACCATCCTCACTGGAGTGCTTTTTGTCTTTATATCTTTATTAATACACTCCCTGCAATTGGGTAGTGTGATTTTACTTGCATTTTAGCTCTATGACTTGACAGAGCAGAAAAGGTTAAGTTCTTTGCTTGTAGGATGGAGCATATATAAAAACATCATTTTTTACCTCTTAATTTTCTGTACCCCCATCCAGTCACCCAGCAGTCCATGTATGTTACATGTCTATCTCCTTTGGAAGGTAGGCATATGGGTCGCTGAGAATCTAAATTTTAAAAATCATAGTTTAGTTATCAGAAGCAAAATATGTCTTCTTTTCCAGAAGAGATTTTCTTCTTTCACTTTACACTGATTGTATTTTTAAAAAATTTTATTATATTTGGGTTTTTTTTTTTTTTGCCTTATTGTCATGTATTTTCATCTCTCATGCTCAGCATCACCTATCACATGCCCCAGGGTGAGAGTCTGGAGGGAGAAGCCACACCCTCCCCACTGGTCCTTCACGCTCACTAGCCCTGGCGCCCAGTGCAAAGGGCTCCATCACTCCCACCTTCAGTCCTTCATCCCTAAAAGGGAGATGTTAGACTAAATTATCTTTAGCATTCCAATAGCCTATAAAATTATGGCACTCACACACACCTGCAGAAGCCTAAAGAAACCTTATCTCCTCACCCATCTTCCAAAATTAAGTTTCAATAAGGAAAGAGCTTCGGCCTTAACAGATTGAACAGCCGGCTTCCCAGGCCCTCTCATGACAACCATGGAGATTGGGAGGGTCAGGCCATGAATCTGGTAGGGTTAAACATTTTTCTCCAGGTCACCATTCTAGGTAACTTTCGAATTAAAATTCCACATACCTGTGTAATTCATCGCTGTTTCCAGTTTCAACAAGGCAATATCATACCCGCCTTCTGCTGTTTTATATTGGTCATGAACTATTATTTCTTGAACCCCAAAGAAAGGTGTATCCTCTTTTATTTCAGATTGATTTAAAATGCCACTATACACACGCAAAAGTTTAGGTGACTCTAGCCTAAGGAACAGACAGTAGAGGGAAAGAAATTGTCTTTCCTAAGTCATTCGAAACGTTTTGAGCTGTACAGCTACTTAACTGGTTCTTACTAATATTTTCTGCCAGTTGTGGGCTTTTAGATGGGAAAAGTGATTTCATCTTAAGACTTTTTCAGCTGCCTTATAAAGAAGATCCTGAGCTAGTATTTACTTTATATTAAACAAAGAAAATAAATGAATGTTTCTTTTTACTCTCCAACACACACACAGAAACACACACACACACACACACACACACACACACACACATGAACAGTATGAGGTTTAGTTCCACCCTGCCATCAGCTAGCTGTAACCCTGAGAAATTCACTTGGACTTCCTGGCACTCCATTTTCCCATCCATAAAAGGTAAATGGAACTATTGATCTCAAGTGTATCCTCCAGTTATGAGTGTGCCACATAGTGATTAAAAATACAAACTAAAGCAAACACACAAAACTGTGTCCAGAAACAACTCAGAGGGTATAAAATGGCAAAGAAGAAGTCTGGCCAACTAAAATCCCTGGGATACGTGTGTTTCCCCAGCTGGAGAGCCTTTATGTTTGACCAATATTGAAAGTGATCTAAGTGGGAAATTCAATTTGAGGATACATAATGAACCCTTTCTGTATTTATACACATACAGAGCGAGAGAGAGAGAGAGACAGTATGGGACATAGGAGTCAGAGAATGGGAAATTCTCTGTGAGTTTAGTTCTGGACCCAATGTGCAGAATAATGCAAGGAAGGTGATATTTCTAAAAAGAAATAACAAGCAAGCCCCTGAGGCTGTTCATGTACTTGAGCGGGAAAGTGGAACAGTACGCAAACAACCACGTTCCTGCACCTACTCTGGTGCTGGTAGACCAGGAGTGGCTCTTCCTTTTTCTGCTTCCCCCATCCCCTGAACTAAAGAAATAAATGAATTAATAGGAAATTAATTTATTAATAGCAAATAGGATAATTTAAAATTTAAAAGTATTTATTTACTAATATGCTAGTAATAGATAGTGTATGGGTGTGAGGATGATGAACTAATAAAAACGGCGGTGGTACTGACCCATAGAAACAGTGAGCGGCCGTTAATATCCACTGGTTCCCAATGATGGAGCCTCCGCACAGGTGTCTCTGTGTGGGCGACGTGACGTGGAGAGTTACCTGCCACGGCCACTCACCGTGAACAGACGCGGTTCCCCCAACGATCCTGGGCTTGATCTTGGTTGTACATTCTACAACAGAAAGATTGCAGTGAGTGGCTTCTACATCTTCCTTTGCCACCAGTAAGCACGTTCCTTCAGGAGCAAAAAGAAGAAAACCTTCCTTCAATTCAAACCTTCCTTCAATTCAGTAGCTTTCCACGACCCTCAGAGTTGCAGGGACTTGATCGTCAAGTTGGCAAAAGAAAGCATGCACGTAAAGATGGAAGTCACTGAGTCACTTTGTAATCACACGTCCCAAAGAATGCTGCCCTCCTTCTCTGGCACTACGAGGCCTCTTGTCCTCCTTCTAAGGGTAACTTTGAGGGTTCATTTAAAGCAGTGGTTGTTAAGTGTCAGTCCCCCAGACCAACAGCCTCACCTGGGAACTTGTTAAAAATGCAAATTCTTGAGCCCTACCTCAGACCCAGTGAAGGAGGACGTCCAGCTGTGAGGCTCAGCACAGCCCTGCCGGAGTGTGGGGACTGCCACTATATAGACAAGGGGGCTCCTTCCACTCCGTTTGCTGCCCTTGTCTAACTTTTCCCTCATGCCCCAACTCAGGCCGACCCTGGCTCCCAGTCACTCCCATCCCATCCACGTCCAAACCAGGATGGACCTTCTGTTTGTGAACTTCTTCTGCTCTTTGGCTTTGTTGACAGTTTGAGGTTCTCTTGGGCCAGCGTTGGAACTTACCATGGACTTTGAGTCAGACTCATCCCTCTGTTTCTTCCTCCTCTTGGCTGCCCCAGACAGGACAGCAGTCCCCTTTCTTTCTACTACTTGGGATGTCTAACCTGAGAAGCACCCCCCTGGCTGGAGCCTGGCCCGTTCTGCCACAGAACCCAGATGGTGTGGGGGTGAGGGGTTCGTGGACAGCAGTGTTCTGGAGCAGAGCACCTCAAGCCTTCGTGCACATACTGGTCACCTGGGAAGTTTGCAAAATGCAAATTCTGATTCAGTGTGTCTGTGGGGGGCTGAAATTCTTTCTGACAAGCTCAGCTCCCGGGTGATGCCAATGTGCCCACATCACACTTGCAGAGGGCAGGCCCAGAGAGTCAGAGAAGCTTGTGTCCTTAGCTAAGGGAGGAGTGTAAAGTTGGCAGAAGAGTCACTAGGAAAAAGTCAAGTCCTAGATGGCCCATTCACTAGTTTTATGGGTGTGAACAAAACCTCTCTAGGCTTTTTCCCCCCTCAATTGGAAAATGAGTTGATAATTCTGGGGCAGATTTCAAACAGAAGGAGAGGACAGGTAAAGGAGTTTTGAAGGAAACGACAGCTCATAGCAAGCTGAGACAAGAAAGAGCACTACGTGTTAGTGGAAGCTTAAGCAGAGTGTTCTCATTCAAGAGTGGATAGGGTGGACGTTAGTTTTGGAAGGCCCTTTTGAAGATCTTAGCTATATTCTAGACTTTCTGGGAAGCTCTTTTAGTTTGCCAGCTGGGGAGTCAGCATAAGGGCAAAGTTTAGGAAAATTAATAGGGAAGTAGTAACTAAGGTATATTATAAATAACTCAATAAAGACCTTATTTAGGTACAGGTCACAGGTCTTAATGTTCGTTTTCTTTTGTTTCTCAGCTTAAACAAAATGCTGAAATTATCTGTGTTTAACATCACATTTTGTGTTAAGAAATGTTTCTTTTAATGGCATTGCTATCTGTCTTCAGAAAGTGAAGTTGTATTTTAGACCCACGACAGTACAGGACACGATAAATATCTGTTAGTCGTTCCCTTTCATGGTAGAGTGTTATTTCATCCAATATGGTGCAGTAAAAGCTAGTTATCCAATTCTCTTATTTCAGAAGGTGTACTGGAAAAACATAAGATTTTATTTTCCTTTATCTTACATTTTCTCCTGCAGCTATCAATCTACACCTGATATATTCTGCAACCCCTACAGGCCAAAACAGAGAAGAACGGAATGAAGAAGGAAGGGTGGACAATGGAGTCTGCAATTTATCACGGTGGAAGTGCTGATGTTGTTTTGTCAACATCACTGAACAACAAAATTTGCTAAGTGCCCCTTCTAATGCTTAGAAGTAGAAACAAGACAACGGAATTATTTTGAATGCTCCTTCTTGTCTTAGGTAAATTTATTGTGAGTAAAACAGAGAATTATGAGATACAACTTAATTGACTGGCTTTTTAAAGAGGTTTGAGCCATCCAAAGGTTCTCACGAGGGCCCCTCTGAACTCTAGGAAGGCATAATTTGTGACTTAGAATACTAATATTAGATCTAATAAAACATCTTTATGTGCTACAAAACAAGTTCTCAGAAGTTAAGATTGATTCACCTTCTCGGCACAGTGCATAATCTGACACAAATGATTTTTATACTTCTAAAACTACTACAAAGCGTATCACTTCCATTTGATTCATTCAATCTCAGTGGCACCTAAGTTTATAGTGCATTCTGCCATTGGCCATTTGGCAATGAACAGTCTAAGAACATGCAGCTTTATGAAAATCAATAAATAGTAAAGTTATAGTAGGTTGCTATGGTAATTTAGGGAGGAGTATTCATGGCATGTTCTTTCCTATTGGGGGTTCTGTCCTTGAGAACAATTTTGTATTTGCCTACAAACCATTTCTTGCTGCTACGCTCAGAAACTGGCCACTGGGATGGAAATATTGCTGGTGTAATTTTTATTGTAACTTTTATGTTATTGTAAGTCTTTTATAATCTAGGCAATCTTTTTATTTCCACCCTACCACAATCATTGCTATGAATTCGTAAAGTGTTACCTTAACTTTTGCCAACATCTGTAAGTCTACAGAACTCTTGCAGGGAATCTGCAAGAATGAACGCCCATGAAAAGAAAGTACTCCAGCATTTCTTGAGCAGACACATATTTTTTCCAAATATATGATCATATGTATGTTTTACTTAAAAACCAAGTTAGCAGTCAGTGAGCAGAAAATGAGTAGTTTGATTAACCAGGGTGCTGGTCGATATTTTGATTATAAAGGAAAATAAGATAAATAAATGAGATAAATTAAGGCCTTGACAACAAGAAGCAAATGCAAGAGTATTGGTTCAGACTGGATCCCACCATGAAGTGCTAGTTGTATAAATGTGTCAGATTAAAACACACATCCAATTCATAGTAGGCAACCAAGACTTTAGTCAAGACCCAATATTTACCTTTAAAGCATGGTCAGCTTGGGTGATAGGAGTGAAAATAACAGAAAATTGCTAAATTTATTATTTTACTAATTTCCTCCCCTCTGTGGCTATTATTAGCGCTCCTATACAACTTATTCAGTATAGAATAACTCTTTCACATATTTTTTTTTTCAAATGACATCATACTCACCATTATCCATTTTACATAACCTCCGGGTATATCCAGAGATGCCTCCTCTCCCGTAAAGTATTTTAGTTGGAGATCCATTGGAGGAAAGTTTTAAGTAACATTTGCCCCTACAGTTGGAAACAAAATGGCATAAACACAATGCACCTCACAAATAGATGAGACAGAGGCATCTACGTAACCCACAATATGCCTTACGTCCCTTCGTTGCAAGATCCTTGAGATGGGGCATAGGTAAAAAACTGGCAGCGGATGGCATTGGTGCACATTTTCTGGCAGGCTTCGTGACCTTTCACATCGACAATGTCCAGCTCTTCTCCCAAGAAGTGAGTGTCGTGGTAAAATGAGGAATGGCAGAACACTAGACAGCAAAGCACATAGCAGACATGAGACATACCTCAGCATTCATCAGCCTCCTCGGGATTTGTACATCTCATTCAGAATAAAGTACTTGTGCTGTTCACCTGGGATGCTGTGCCTGCAGTTTTGTAGACCAAAACCAGAAAGAGCTTTGCTCTTCGTAAAGCGTGTACTTGGTAATCCACTCTCAGATGTTTTAAGGAGACAAAGATTTCTAACAGATAAAAGAGGGAAATATAAATATATCGTATCAAACATATCAAAGAAAAAAAAACAGTTTTACAGCACATAAAGAAGTTTGTAAAGTTAGCTCACCTTACCACCTAATGGCAAAGATTTTCCTGTTTTGAAAGGTACCCTGCCTGAATCACTGAGCCACACCCCAGTTTCCATGGGTGGTAGACAAATTTTCAAAAGTGAACCACCTGGTTCTGTAAAAATTTTCTGAGTTTGCTCTATTGCCAATGTGCCTAGTGTCTTCCTTTTTTCTTTCTTTCCTTTTAATGCTCCCAGCCTACAAAACTCAAAGATCTAAGTATTTTCATCCTTCCTAGAAATCTCTTCTTTGCAACTTTCATCCCGTACAGACATTTAGATTAAATATTTAGTTACTCAGAGTTGTCAACGATGGATTTTGATCATCTGTTTTTAAAAGACAACAAATTACCCTTGAATGTAGCTTCTCACCTTTGCGATTCTTTTGGCCACTCTTGGGAAAAGAAGGTAAAAAACAAACAGTTGGGATGATGAGTACAAATGCGGCGACAGACGAAAACATCTGGGGCCACCACGCTGTCGATGTTGCTGTCTGCAAACACTGTGCTGGGGAAAATGTCCCTAATACAAGCTGCACGACAGAAGGAACGATGAATGTCAGGAGATCAGTTCACCAGCAGAATCGTGAAAATTCCCGTCGTAGTATTTGTAAATTCCATATTAAAAAATTTAAGCTTACCCCAAGTTCTTTAAAATGATTTTTAATTTAGAAAAAAATGAAGAGATTATGTTAAACCTGAAACTCAGAAATAAGCTCTAACCATGTAGGACATAATGAAATCGATCACATGAGGCAGGTAAAAGACCATTGGGTCCATTTCATCGGTGAGCATAAGTCGGTATCCTAAGTTGGATCTATTGCACATATCACTGGCATCGTACCTATTTAGCGGTTAAACTGTCACCTTAAGAAAATGATAGTTACCCAGATTAGAAAGTGCACAGGACTTCAATGAAAACCCAGACTCCACTTTACTGAGCTTCGTTATTCTGGTTGGTGTCCCTGTTTGGGTGTACTTCAATAGACAAATATTACTGCATGAAAAGAAAAAGGAAAAAAAAAATGTCTTATTCTTCCAAATGCAAGGAGGAAAAAACATGAGATGATAAGAAATTCCCACTTGAGCATTACAGTGAAGGGACACCCTAAGAAGCATCCATCTGAGAGGCCGAGTGGTTAAGCTGGAGTCCCAGCCCTGCCACCAGGTACCTGGTGGTCCTGTGAACTTTGCTAACTTTGTTTCTTCATCAGTGAAATGACGTCTTGAGGAGGGTCCAACAAGAGGGGTAGGAGTGTCTGAATGGATGGCTTCTCGAGCCCCTCTCACTTTTAATGCTCTAACTTTTTTTATAATGCCCAGCAACCCCTACTTTCTTGGCCTGTGGTTCATAGCATGCTAAGTCATAGATATAAAAGATGTCATCTGAGCTGAGCTAAAGCCAAGCCATGGAAGACTAATGACTAATTTGGAGGGAGGGGTTGTTGTGCTTTTTTTTTTTAATCACTGCTGTTTTTGAAATGAATATTTGATGCTTTATTTGCTTTCTACTCACCTCATTTTTGTGACTGTGGAGAGTGGAATGTTAAAATCTAATGTTAAAACCCAAATATTAGTAATTTGAACTTTTTTCACTTGTTTCATTGGATTCCACATAGATGTAGTTTACTATGCAAATCTAGATGTTCTCAAATATTCTTAAATATACAAATTGATAATATATTTCCCTTACAAATTTTAAAGATGCCAACACAGATATAGTCATTAGAGAGGAGGTCATTTTTATATCATTTCATGACAGTTTTATCCCTGAAATATTTCAAAATCCAATATGGAGCAAGATAAAACTTTTCTCATGAGCTTCAATTATTCTGTCATACATGAGGAACTGCTGTTTAGCAAGTGAGTATATATTATTTTTTGTTTCTATAGGGCTAGGCTATCACATCACTTAGGCTAGGAAGGACACTGCCAATCAGACCACTTGTAGCTCTTTCAAAAATTTAAAAGCATAGATGTTTCAAAATTACAATGTAAAATGTAGAGTTTTTGTAATTATCTAGGACATTGATCAAGGGTATGCATTTTTTCTAACAGTGTCACTAAAAGACAGACTCATTACCATAAATGTAATGCATCCAAATTGGGCTTAAGATGTACTTTTCATGAAGAGAACTGTTAGGTTTTATTATAGAAATGTCTTTTAGGGGTTAAAAAAATTGGGGGCATTAAGTTGATGACAAAAAGTTTTACTGAGTCATCACTTTGCTTTTTATTTGCCATTCTAACATCCTCAGGCTCAACTTAACTTGCAGCTCACTCACCGATGCTCCACGCTGGGAAACCACCTTGTCGCATATGTAAAAAAGTGACAGTGGCTGTCATCTGTGCACCTCTCTTGGCATTCCTGAGCGTTCTTGGCAACAGAGCTGTTGTAGTTTATACCCTTCATGTCTAGATCCACATAAATGTCTTTGTTGCAAGCTGGGAAAAAAAGTAGAAATCATGGGCTCTCTCCAGATTCCAGGGGCAACAGCCGTAGTTCTATCTCAGCCACTGTCCTCCTTACTCCTTTTCACCCATTTTTCCTTTGTTTTTATTTTAATCTATGAAATTCCTGTTCTTACATGGGAGCAGTAAAAGAATGCCAATGTCCTTCTATACGGCATCAGCTTTAGACTTGTACATTCGCATTTCTATTTTCTGACCTTGCCTCTCCTCTCCTAAGCTCACTGATTGATTCATTAATTAACCAATTCCAATGTCTATTTCACTATTAAGAAAAGTGTCACCTCAACCTTTATATTTGCACCCTTTGGTTTGAATTTATATGTTTAATACATACTTTCATGTAAAATTTTAAGCTGGGAAGGGGAAAGAAAATATATGAATGATGAGAACTGAGGTAGTAAGATACGTCTTTCTATGACGTACAGAAACTTTAATGAACTATAATGTGTGGGGAGGTGTGGACATGCATGCATGTTTTCTAGCTTTTATTTTACACTAAAAGTACTTTGTTAGGGGAGTTTATTGCCACGTTGCAGAGCTTTGTTTCCAAGATCAGACGAGATCGGGCGTGTTCAGGGTGGTATGGCCATAGACCAGAGCTTTGTTTCATAGTCATAAAACTATATTCGATGCAACTCTACGCATATATCACAATAACTAGTATTTATTAATCCTAAGAAGACATCTTACCACTTATTTGATGTGAGCATTGCTTGAAAGAATATCCAGAAATTGCTCCTGTCCTATTCACTCTTGGCAGTGTTTCTATAACACTGTCTTTCAGGACACAAGTAAACCTGTTTTTAAAAAGATAACATTGTGTTTTAAAATAATGAGTCTTTAAACATCAGCATAGAAAGTGAAAAAGAAGGAAACAAACTATCTCATGCCCAAACAAATACTTTCTTAGCAAGACTGTGAGTTTGTTTTTCCTTCCAACATCCTTACACTCAAGAGACCACATTTGCTCCTTCCTAACAGGAAAGCAACACAAGTGCATAAACTATGACCCATTGGTAAAATAGCAGCAAAAATCTGCCTGTTTTTTTATAGCCCATGAGCTAAGAATGATGTTTTTATTTTCAAATGGTTATATTTTAAATGATGATGTAAGTACTTATATCCTTCATTTTGCCTTGGGACAAATGAAACTATATAAAGGAATTCTTGTTCAATTTCTTATATCTTTTGTGGAGGATAATGCATGTCAAAATATTTAGGGGTGAAGTGTCATAATTTTTAAAATTACTTCAAATGGTTAGCCATATATACATAGATAGGTAGGAAAAGCAAAAATCACAGAGTCTTGGTGGTAGCAGGAGATCATTGTACTGGATTATTTTTTCAAATTATCTTTATAAATGTTTAATTATTTCTGATAAAACAGCTAAAGGAAGTTCCAGTTCAAATCATATCAAATATCAATAACCAATAGAAAAGTAAAGATCAAAAAGATTAAGAAGCATAAAAGTAGAGAGAGAGAGAGAAAATGTACCATTAATATTGAGACCACAAGAGAGGTTGGAAAGTCTGCACTCTTAAGAGGCATATTTATTCCCTCCTAATCTGCCTGAGAACGATTTTTTTCTCTAATATTTAATATTTCAATTGAAGGACAATGTATTTTCCAATTGTTAACATTCAGTTTTATAAAATGGCAGATGGAAATGTATGAATAGTAATCTTCTGTTAAAACCTCTTTCCTCTATGTAGACATTTACCATGCAGTAGGGTCTTGGAATGGTGACTCAGCCACATAAGTGAAGAACAAGCATCTTGGATGGTAGGTGCAGACTACTTGGCAGTACTTGGCGCTTGGTGTAAAAACTGTAGTGATGTCTCCTCCTTCAAAGTAGGTATCTTTCAACAGCTTAGTCACACATTCTATGATGCAATACATGGCACAGGTTATGTTGGATTTTAGTGGGCTCATAACTGATTAGCCAATCATCTCACAAAGGCAAAGCAAGTAGGTCTACTTAACAGTAAATATGCCCGAATTTGGAAATCGAGGCAGTCAACACTTTCATGTTAGTTTATTGATGAATAGTCTCTAATGGAAAAGAAGATCACAAAAGGGTACACTGGCTTCAGTGGAATCGTGATTATGAGTGATTTTCTTGGAGACAAGACAGGTTTTGTGGGTCATTGAATCATTTCTCAGCTCCATATTGGCAAAAGCTACTCTTTAGCATCCCAGCCAGGTCTACAATGGGTTTCTGCTTCTCCCTTTCTCAACTGCTTCTCTCTGTCCAAACTCTATGCTTACATGAAACAAAAGCTCTGGAGTGATCATTTTCCATAGCATCTGATGACCCTGGGTGTGGTAGCACATCCTCACCCCAAGCTTTTTGTTGCTTCCAAATGATGGATATGGCCACCTCCCATTCATGGAGAGTCTATTGTCACTTCCAAATATCCCATTGACTGTGGAAACCCCACCTCTGGGGCAAAGCAATTGCGCTACATTAAAATATTACTTTTAAGAAGAACATTAATTATTTGGTAAGTTAAATATATTTTCTAATTTTAATATATGTGATAATTTTCTTAGACTATGTCCCTACTAATTGGATCATTTAATTTTACAAGGTACACTGATTTTCAAAATGGAAATATAGCTTCTAGTACCAGTAAAAACTGGTTAAATCTGCTTGTTTTTGTGAACTAGCAAGTGCTTGTTTTTGTATATTGAGATCGTATCCAGATTTCTTGCTAATTTAATTTACTGGCCCAAATAATTTATGTGGTGGTTATTTTGAATTGTTCTAAATACACAATCATATCATCTGTGACCAATGAAATTTTCTTTCCTTCTAGTCTTTTACCTTTTATTTCTTTTTCTTTCCTTACTGTGCTGATTAGGAATTCAAGTACAATACTTACTGGAAAGAACACTCGGTGTTCTTGTCTTAATCTCAACCCTTTGGGAAAGCTTTCGATATTTCACTACTGTGTATCAGGTTTCTTAATGAATTTTGGATTGGATTTTTTGTTGGTTCAAAATTCCCTTTAATAGCTGAGGAAAATTCCTCTCTATTTCCAGTTTATTAAGAGTTTGTATCATTAATAGAATTTTATAAAATATTTTTATGTATATTGATTTTTTAAAATTATTTTTACTTTTCATTGTGGTAATATATAACATAACATGCATCATTTCAACCATTTTTATTTACATTGCTGTCCAACTATCAATACCATTCATCTCCGGAAATTTTCAACTTTCCTAACTGAAGCTCTGTAGCCATTAAATACTGACTCTCCCTTCTCCCTCTAACTCAGACCCTGGTACCTCTATTCTAATTTCTGTCCCCATGAAATTTACTACTCTTTATATAAGGTACTTTATAAGTGGAATCATACAGTGTTTGTTCTTATGTGACTGGCTTATTTCGCTTCACATAATGTCTTCAAAATTCATTCATACAGGGTAGCATATGTCAGAATTTCCTTCCTTTTTAAGGCTGAATAATATTGCATTGTATGTATGTGCCACATTTTGTTTATCCATTCATCTGTTGGTAAACACATGGGCTGCTTCACCTTTTGGCTGTTGTAAATAGTGCTGCTATGAAAGGAAGTGCACAGATACATCTGTTTGAGTCCCTGCTTTTACTTCTTTTGGATATATAACCAAAAGTAGTACATCTATTGACTTTTGAATGTTAAACCAACTTTTCATTCCTGGAATAAGCCCAACTTAGTCACGATATCATAATATAATCATCCTTTAATTTGTTTAACATACTGCTGAATTAAGTTTGGTAATATTTTGTTTAGGATATTTGAATATATGTTCATGAGAAAAAAGAACTGTAAGTTTTTTTTCTTTCTCATAATGTCCCTGACGGGTTTTGGCATCAAGATTATACTGACCTTATAAAATGGGATGGAGAGTGTGACTATGTTGACCTCCTCTAATATATGTTTGTTTTCCATTTACTTGATATCTTCTATTTATTTTTTTCTGCCTTCTAGTTTCTTTGCACTTAATTTGCCCTTCTCTTTCTGCCTTCTTGGTCTGTATTTTTATATTATTATTTTTTACTCTTTCTCTATTCTGAAGTATAATATACATCTATATATTTGATCTCAGCACTGATTTAGCTACAGCCCAAGGTTATTAAGTATGAAATGTCTTGATTTCCTTAAGTACTAAGTTTTACAGTTGATATCTCTGACATTTCACTTTGACACTTCTAGTTTTATTTTTATTGTGAAAGTACATCCTCATTCTTTCAAATGCACTTTTGGGCTTGTGATTATTTTTCAAATTTTTTTAGAACAAGTTTTGTGAAACTGTGGATAAGTAAAAAATTTGTGTTATTTTCAAATATGAGTTTTGTCCTGGAACCAATGCAGTGCAGATAGCTGCAAATATCAATAAAGTGTTTCTGAAGGATGTGGCTAATGAGTGCACAGTACGTTGATAGTTTGAGAAGTTCTGTTTTGATGATTTTAATTTTAAAAATGAGCCATGTGAGCGACCTGAGACCAAGGGGGATAATGATGAGCTGAAAGCTATAGTGGAAGTGAATCCATCTCAACCTATGCGTGAATCAGTATTAAGATTTGACGTTACTATTCTAATATTGGACCATTCGAAACAAGTGGGCAAGGTAGAGAAGCTGGGTAGATGGGTACCGCATGAATTAAACAAGCATCAGAAGAGAAATCATCTCTAAGCTTGCTTTTGTTTGCTGTCACAATATAAAGGTGAACCATTTCTACACTGTATTGTTATTAGTGATGAAAAATGGATTCTTCACATGTGCAAGCACTTGGCACATGGTTGGATAAAGATGAATGCCAAAACATATTCCAAAACTGAATATTCATCCAAAAAAGCTAATGGTATCTGTTCAGTAGTCCAGTGCTGGTATTATCCACTACAGCTTCATGAAACCTGGTCAAACTATGGACAGCAGATGTCTACTGCAACCAATTGGATGAAATGCTGAGGATGCTTGTGATTAAGCAGCTTAGATTGGTCAGCAGAGACAGGCCAATCCTTCTGCAAGACAACACTTGACCACATGTCACACAAACAATGCTGCTCAAACTACAGAAGCTGAACTTAGAAACTCTCTGTCATCCACCATATTCACCAGACCTTGCACTAACTGACTACCACTTCTTCCAGGCTTTGATTACTTCTTGCAAGGAAAAATATTCAATTCTCAACAAGCTTTGGAAAATGCCTTTGCCAATTTCATCACCACTCACTCTCCAGACTTCTGTGTTGCTGGCATAAACAAGCTACTGTTAAGATGGCAAAACTATGTTGATAATTTAGGCATGTACTTTGATTAATTGTACTGCTTCTTGTTTGAGATATAATAAACTACACTTTTGATTTGAAATCAGAGATTTCATATTTAATGATCTAATATATTTATATTATAATCCAATTCATTTCCTAATTTCCCATTGTGATATATTCTTTGACTTATATTTATTTTAAAAGGTCTACTTAATTTTTAAGCATTTGAGGATTTTCCAGTTGCCTTTTTATTATTTTGTAGCTCACATCCATGGTGATTGGATAACATGTTCTGTATAATTCTAGTCCTGGGAAATTTGTTAAGACTTGTTTTAGAGCCTTATATGTGGCCAGTTTTTATAAATGTTTCATATGCATATATAAAGGACATAAATATGTATCCAGTCATCCCTCAGTATCATGAGGGATTGGTTCCAGGCCCTGCAGAAGACACCAACATCCACAGATGCCCGTGTCTCATAAAATGGCATAGTATTTGCCTATAACCTATGCACATCCTTCATATACTTGAAACCATCTCTGGATGATTTATAATATCTAATACAATGTAAATGCTATGTAAACAGTTGTTATGCTGTATTGTTTCAGGAATAATGACAAGAAAAATTCTGTACTTGTTCAACATAGATGCAATGTTTTTCCAAATATTTTCAATCTGAGGTTGGTTGAATCCATAGACGTAGAGCCCATGGATACAGAGGGCAGATTGTAAATGCAGTTGTTGGGTCTAGTGTTCAAAATATGTCCACTGAGTTAGCACTGACATGTTTATCAATGAAACAACAAGACAATTTCAAAATAATGACAATGAAGGAAAACAATAACTAAATAATAATCTTGTCACAAAGAAAAATAAGATTATGAACTGTACAATTTAACACATGCAGTGGAATTTATTTTACTTTAAATCTCTACTGAGATTTACCATTTTTCACATATGCCAAAAAAAAGAGTTTACTGTGCTTAAAATGCTAGCAATAGTAGCAGAAATTAAATGTAATATTATACATAAGTTATTTTTTAAAGGGATGCTTAAGTTTTCATTTTAAATAAAGAATAACCATGGGGCTAAAGAATACTTGTACTAATATATCCTACTGAATATTGGTTAAGTAATTTTTAAACAAATTTAGTGGACACAATTTGGCGGAGAATTAACAGCACTGGTTAAATTATTGAAATGCATAAACTATATATGAATATATATAAGACACTTTTTGCTCCAAAATTGCTATTGTGTATGTGTTGCATTGAATTGACTGCTTTATGGAAAACTGACTAATCAATGAGGCAAATCGAGATATTTTTTAATACTGTTCCTATATGCCATTTAAATGAGTTATGTAGATAGAAGGTCCAAGTATAGATATGATAAGAGATATAAACATAGATTCCTACTATTGTGAGCAATCCTTCACCTCAGTTCCCTTCCCTGCTTTGAAAGCCACAGGAGCCTTAAGCAGAAAATAAATAAAACCATTTTATTTCCTTCCCTGAAGTGGATGGGGTGGATTCCCCCTGATGTGTTTGGACCATGGTGTGGTTTCCTCTGGGCCTAATGCCCCCTTGTTTTCCAATCTACAGGTCAGGAAATCAAGCACTTTCCAGTTCATACTTAAGATGAAGCTCTACTTACCACTAGACACTGAGGCAAATAAAATGAAATGTACCATTTGATACAATAAAATCATCCTGCAAAGAGAAAAATGTGCATGCTTTTAGAACATAAAATATAAATTTATAATTAGTTTGCTCACATCGAGACTTGCAAGAAGTAGGGAGGGAGAGAGTAGTTAATTCAATAATGCTCACAGGGTTCTTATAATGTTGAATTTTGTGCTTCCCACGTCCTCAGCCCAGCTGTGTGTACAGTGCTTAACACCTTCATGGATCTGCAGAAGCTTGAACCAGCGGGAACCTTCGCTCCCTCCTTCCCCTCCCACCTCCAGCTCACGATTAATCAGATCCTTCTCATCTTCACCATCCAACTACTCTCCTCACCCCAATTTTCCATCCTGGTTTCCTTTTCCAATTTATTACCTTTCTTTCTATTTTGAGATCTCTCCCTCTGTATGCCCATATCTATCAAAAAGCTCTGAATGATTTTTTATTTATGAGATATTCTATTTTTAAAATGTACTGCAAATCTATTAATAGACTATCTTAATCACCTATAAATGCACTTATCCCCCATTGAACAGACCATTCTATGAAACACTGACTCATCAGCAAGACAAGACCTCTGATTTTTCAATATTGTTCTTCAAGGTCTTTTTAATTTGAAAATACTTGTTATTGAGTAGAAACTGTTACTCTTCTTTCACTCCACATCTCCTCTCAAAGATGTGGAAATTCATTCTACATCTTCTCTTAGTAATGGACATTAACTAAACATCTCTATTCAATCAGACCATTTAAAAACCAATCATTCTCTATTGCAAAAATTTTTTTTAAATTACCATGGTAGAAAAAGACATTTCAAGGCATTTCAAAGAAATGTTAAATATTAATATTTGTTTTGAAACCATACCTGAAAATACCTTGTTTGCTTATTTGCTGCAATGCTTAATAAGGATGTTTTCATCTTCCAAAATGGCTTTCATCTTCCTCTAAATGAGCTTGTGTAGGTAATGTTCACTTACCTTTAATATTTACTTTTACTGGTTTCCAATGTTGTGTAACATTGTCTCTTTGTACAACGTATCTGTGAAAGTCCTTAAAATCTCTGCATATCAGAAATGTATCCCGAAAGTTGCTTGTTTTTTCAATACATCTAATTGATTATTGTTTTTTATTGCATATTCAAACAAGTGATGCACAGAGAGAGAGAGAGCTGGAGAACTTGCGTTCGCCTGTGCCTCCGCAGTCAGGCCCCCTGCCTGCTCACCAGGGCTGCACTCAACCACACTCTCAAACATCCACTGTTAACCATTAATTCTGGCCTAACTTGAATCCCAGGGTCTAAAAGGAAAGCACAGGAAGTCACATGGACCCGTCGAGTTGCAGCACAGTGGAGGGAGGAGACTTCTGTGGGCTGAGGGATGGGTAGGAAGCAAAGTGCAGACTGACCACGAGTGCCCTGCTCCTGTGGGGAGGAGCAGGGCACTTTACACTATGCTACCTCCTCAGAGGCCTGCGCAGATGTGATTGGTTCTAAGGGACCAAGCTCTTTTTACTCTACTTGTGAACACTGAAAGTCTAAAACTTTTTTGAAACAGAAAAGTATGGAGCTTTGATTTAATTTAATTTAGAACTTAGGACACTAAGTCACAAATGGAGAGAGCTATTAAAGTGACACATCTAGCTGTCACATGACAAGTAATAATAAAAAAAATGTCGATTTCCAGAAGGATAATTATCCTTGTCTTGGAGGGAGGCTTCTACTGGTTAGGACCTATTATAATTTATAGAGAGGAAAGATTGTGAAATATTTTTTTTTTGGTTTCACATAATTATATTTCTGTTAAGTACCTTCCCACTGAGCTTGAAGAAGGACTAAAAGCACCATGGAAGCCATGATAATCCAGGTCCTCTGTTACCCAGACCTATTAACTAGCTTACTGGTCATGCAATTTGAGCAGAAACCAGTCCATGCCCTGCAAGCCAGCTACCTGCAGGTCCTTGGCCAGCTTACTTTATCTCTCTGGGCTTCAGGTTCCTCATTTGTATTAGTAACATTAGGTACTTACTAGACCTCAGGATTTCTGTACAGTCCTCTGAAAACCTAACAGCAAGAACAAAAAGATTTCAAATAGGTCTGATTTAAAAACATTTTAGAGAAAGATAATCTTCTGGTTCAGAGAAGGCTCCCAATTTTCCCTAGAAAAGCAAAATAAGATCTTGTGTTTATAAATGGAATCATAATTTTAAAAAATATTCTGAAGATCAGGAGAGAAATAAAATGCCAAGTTTGTCCCTGTTAGAGATATGTGTACCAAAGGAGACATTGTACTTTGTTCATGGATATGTGCTCATGTGAATGTGATCTTTGGAACCTAGAAAATGTCACATTTTACTTTGAGCATTTCAATATTTGGGGAAATTGAGAGACAGTCTCATTTCCAGTCTATCACAATAATGTTGCCATGGACTTTATCTAGTTGCTGAAGCTGTAGGACATCCAGTTCCTGGTGGCCACGTGTCTAAGTGGAAAGATGACCCAAGATGAGGAACACTGGACAGCCCTTTCAAAAACTCCTCCAGAAAGGGAAATATGGGGGCAAAAGAGAGAACTTCCCGAAGAAGAGAATGAGGGATTCATTAGCAAAGTCAAGGTAAATTTGACTCTGTGCAACCTGATTTGGGAATTTTTGAGAAGAAATAAGTCAGCATTTCATTCTTTTGGGCAGAATGTTAAGGGAGGTTTGCACTGAGAAGAGGTCTTTGTGTTAAGTGCAGAGAACTATTGTGATGTTCTATCTGGAAGGCGGTCACTCACGTATTTTTATTTGATCTATTGCCAGTGCACCATGACCTATCTTGGTGTAAAGATAGGTCCTTTGTGCTTTCTTGAGTTTCACATTTAAAGTTAAGTACATTCCAGTTACACAAAAAGCATATATTTACTATGCATTGCCTATTAAGAAGCTCAAATGTGGAATGGCAAATTCATGCCAAGAAAGGTTTCATAGAAAATGGATATGTGAGATTACATAAGGTCCATACATTCCTGTATTGTTTACTCCATGAAACCTCCTCTCTATTCTTAAGCCCCAATAAAAAGAAAACTGATAACTCTCCAACCCTGTTGAGAGAGACAGAAAGACTCTAAATGAGAGAAATACTTCATTGGGAAGCCAAATAATATCTTCCAAAATTTGATTTGGCATGTTAGTGAAATCTTTTAAGCCTTGGAAATAGTATCAGGATTCCAAAATATTTTTGTCTATTTAAATAAAAGTAGAATAAAAGTCTTAACTATGTAGTAACTCTTTGAGATTGAAGATATATTTCTTTCAAATTGACCAAAGGTATTCTAAAAGTTCTTTTCAACTGACGTATTGCAACTTAAAATGCTGATATTGATGACTTTTATCTTCAAGTTGTTTCTTTTCCAGTGAAATGAAATGTTTTTGAACATTTGAAGCCTGATGCAAATCACAAATCACGAGACAAAATCTCAGGAAGAATCTGGAATTTAGTCTGCAGAGACCCAAGTGCAAGTCAGAAGTTAGGTCCGTAGGTGAGAGATGTATTGGGCACATTGTGACCTAAAACCGCTAGTTTGGGACAGGGAAGACCACAAAGACAGCCCTGGCTGAGACCCCATCTTAGTCATGGCTATAATGGACTCTCTCTTGGAGCTCCTTCTCCCTTTTGTCAAAACCCCTTTTGAAAAAGGACACGATGAAATAAATAAATAAGTACAATCGTGTCATTTGCAGCACCATGAATGGAACTAGAGGGTCATTATGTTGATCTTATGTTCCCAATCATATGTGGGAGCAGAAAGAGTGGATTTCATGGATGTAGAGAGTGAAACAGTGGTTACCAGAGGCTGGGAGAGGAGAGGGGAATAGGATGAAGAGAGGTCGGTTGATGGGCACAAAGCTACAGTTAGAGAGAAGGAACACATTCTAATGTTTGACAGAGGAGTAGGGAGACTATAGGTAGCAACAATGTATTGTATTTTTCAAAATAGCTAAAAGAGAAGATTTGAAATGTACCCAACACATAGAAATGATAAATGATGGATGCTCTAAATAAACTGACTTGATCATTACACATTCTATGCATGTAAAAAACTTCACATGTACCCCATAAGTATGTACAGATATAATGTATCGAAAAATTTAAACATAAAGAAAAAGGGCCCAGCTTGCCTTGTCCTACAACTTCTTCCCCACTGTCTCTGAAATGTTGCTTTTACATTACAAGGTTTAAAAGTCCACCTTAGATCAGGGTCTCTCAAACCCCTGCATTACGGGTTTGGGGGCAGGATAAGTCTTTGCTGTGAGGGGCTGTCCCGTGGCTTGTAGGACATTTAGCAGCATCCTTGGGCTCCACCCTCTCCAGCCAGCAACACGCCCTCCCCCAGCCAAGACCACCGAAAATGTCCCCAGACATTGCCAAATGTCCCCTGGCAGGGAGAGAAGAGCAAAATCACTCTTGGAGGAGAACCACTGTGTTAGATGCTAATGAAAATATGAAGTGATGGTTACAAATGCTCCTGTTCTTTTATCCTTCTCAGAGTGGGAGGCCACAGGTTATGGCCCACAGGATGTTGTCTGAGATAGGAATGCCAAGCTTAGCTTTGTCCTTGCCAGTGACCTTGAGCTAATCTTTTTTTACCTCTTCAAGCCTCTACTGCCTTATCTTTGTAATAAAGACGTATCCTCTGATTAGACACTTACCAAATGCCCAATTTATATGCAATAGAATGAGAGACAGCCTCCTAAAAAAGTTGCTCACAGTTTAGAAACAGATGTAGATATAAACAATAATTTCTTAAATTCTTTTTAAGCTTCTCTTTCACTACACAAACACTAATTGAAAGAAAAAGTTTCAAATTTACATTAGAGGTTTCCCACACCTTGGGTGTGTGCATTTGCCATGGATCCACATTCGTGCTGCCATCCTGGGGCAGGAGCAGAAAGCTAGCTTCCAGGGTTGGCACTGCCACCAGGCTGTCTTGGGTGGAACTGCCAAAGACGCTCTCCCCTCCCCTCCCTATCCCCCCTGAGGGTGAAGTCATTCTAATTTCTCATTTTCTTAGCCTATTCCACACTTCTTAGTCCCACGAGGCTCTGTTTGGGGGGCTCCTCTCTTCATCCCTGCTCGTGAACACAGAGTGAGTAATGAAGAGACCATGCCAGTCCTGCTGCTCTCTGATCGGCAACTTTAAAATGATCTTTGATGCCTCAGGAAAATCCCACATTTCAACACTCTCCTCTCTGTTTTGCCCAAACTAGGTTATTCCCTGATCAACAGAGACCAAAGGTTGACCCTGTAAGCATTCCAAAGTCCTGCTCCAACACCCTTTACAATGATCAATACCAAAACCTTGAGATAAAAGATTTTCATTGCAATCCCTTATTTTCCCTTCTAAACATAAAACGACATCCACACAGAACAAAGACCAATCTCTTTATTTCATGCAAAAGTGAAAGCTGAAATTGTGTATTTTAAAAATCATTTCATGTAATCTAGCCAGACGTTACAAAAGCCATTTAGTTCTGAAGTAAATTCTTAACTCCTCAATTTCCTACTGTCGGGTTTGTGCATAACCCAGACCTCATGGTTTCCCGCAGGCCCCTCTGGCTTTAAGCCCTTCCTACCACTTGGTGTGTCTTTCAGTATGGAAGGAGAAACTCGATGTCTTTTAGAAAACATCACTTTTCTATTTTTCTACTTAAATTGCACAATATTATGTAAATGGCTAATTCTGTGTAAATGTTAGCAAAACTGAACCGGATCAAGCTACCAGTGTGGTAATCACTGGCAAGTTGGGAAGTTGCATTGCAAAAGGATTCCTATCACCCATTCCAAAGCTACTTACTACTACCATGAATTTATAAGCCTGAACCTTATGAAATACACTATACCTAACACTGCTTCTTGAATTACTACCATAGCAATACCACTGAACACTCAGGGTTAGTGCCATTCGCAAAGCAGATTCCTTGCCCACCC